TCTCTCTCTCTCTCTCTCTCTCTCTCTCTCTCTCTCTCTCTCTCTCTGCATTGCGCATGTGTGCATTGTGCTGCATCTAAGTACCAACCAGGTACAGAGCACATATTGGACAAAGCATGTCAGCTTCATTGATTTGAAAAACAACTTTACAAACCAACCACTACCGCTATATGCTGCAATACACATGTCCCGAATTTGCTTTGTTTCATTTGGTTTGTCATCATGGGGCCAAAACAAATGTGCAAGTCCTCTAAAAGCCACAGTGAACCTGGAGCCTTCGGACCCCTGATTGTTTGGGGTCCCAGAGCTGTTGCCCACTTTGCCTGGTTGGTGAGCCAGAGGAGGACATTATTTACATGCACAGGTATTAAGAAGACACAACATACATTTAAATGTATTCACCAGATCAGCAGATGCACACATGCCGAGCACAACCTGGTGTGTTGTTAGGTCAAATGGCCACAAGATGTCGACATAGTAGTGTGTCTTGTCTCAGACATGACCACATGTTTAGACGCAGCAATAAACAAGCAATAAAACTTGTATGATATTTTAATCATCATAAACAAAACAAAAAAAAAAAAATATATATATATATATATATATAAGATAGGCTTATATTTGCCAATAAAACTGGACATGCTGATGTATCATTCAGGCTCTAATATTAGCCTTAACGATAGTAGAGGAATTATATATACAGGAATATTGTATGGATACCATGGTTCAAAATACTGTATATAAAAAAGGGCAAATGTCGTTAGTTACATCTGCTTTATTTGCGGAAAAATAATCTTTTATTTTGAGTACAAAAATAACAGACATCTGATGAACACATACTGTATATTCTCATGCACTTGCATTTTTACTGTATTTTAGGATCTTGCAGTTGGTTTGTACAGTCAGTGTTCAGTGTGGTGTTTCTGCCACTGTCGATGTTTCAAACAAGAATCTAGAACCATCATAGGCTCCCATGTGACCCTCTGAACAACTGTGCAGCTTTGCTCTTCTTGTTTAGTCCAACATTTAAAATGTGACAACAAAAATCTAAGGGCTTGTCTTTACTAAAAGCAGTCCTGCTTTGCAGCTCATGCTCATCTTGACAGGGAAATGTAAAAGTCCATGAGCCTTAAAATCTTCTTTTCAGATTTGAAAGGAATCTGCCAAAGGGTGAGACAATTAATGTAATTAATGTTAATGCAAATCATGTCTCATGTTTGCTTGACGGAAATGTCCATAATCTTGATACAAGTAAAATAACTCCATATTGCTCTTAACCTTATTTCTTGATTAAAGATAGTTACTTTGTTGCTACAACATTTCTGATAGTGATGAGAAATACATGAATTATTCCCACCACAAATATGGTTTTAACCAAAACTGTAGACTATAAATAAAACTTTAAAAGTGAAGTTAAGAGTAAAGAACTTTGTAAATGTTATAGTTTTACTACATGTATGCAGCCAACTATTGTATCATTTATTAGTTTAATGCTGAGTTGTCCGAAAACATAAACCAAAAATTCATCATTCAACTTTTAGTAACAGCTCACAGTCCGAAAAGGAGGTTTCTGGTGTTTTGGGAAAAAAATAATAACAGAAGACTTTTGCAGCACCTTTAACATGAGAGCAACTCAAATATGCAAACATGCTTCTTTTACCTGTAATGTGTGAGTGGAAATAAAATAATCTTCCCCTGGAGAAACAAATTAATACCAACAGCCTAATGTAAAAGTCAATACGAAGTAATTCATTACATTTGAGTATCGAGGAGGCCAACACTGATCATGGCTGTTACATCTAAGTTGTCCAACATGTTCACTTTCTCCGTCCAATATGAGCCAGCATGCGCGCGTTCTCGGCCGCCTTGGCTCGCAAGTTTTTGGCCTTAGCGACATCAAAGAGGACGTTCATGATGTTGGTCGGGACGTCAAGGGACAGGGTCAGTCTGCTCCTCCGGTGCCCTTTGCTGTTGTTGCGGAGCATCTGCCCTCTAAGCTTCGTCCGGCTCACGAAGCGGTAGTTTGCGGGACTTGAAGTCCTTTTTTCCCGACTGGATTCGGCAGAAGAAGTGGAGGAGGAGGAGGAGAGATACTCCGCGGACTGCAGGAGGGACCCCCAGCCGTCCACGTCGTTCCGGACACCGACTGCCGTCTGGTCGTCGCACACGAAGTCGTCGCGGGTTTGGTAGAGGCGCAGGCACAGACTGGAGGTCGGCGTGCACAGGATCAAGAGCAGCAGCAGGGTCTTCAGGGACGATAGCATGCTGTGCCCTCTGGGACCAACACATGGGAACAGGGAAGAAAAATGTTGACTTTATGCCATTCTATTTCTATCGTTAACATCTTTACAACATCTCAGTGTCCACAAGCTATTTTATTTTGACAGTCCTACGTGTATTAATCTAAAAGTAAGTAACAGAAACGGGATGAGAATAAAGGGATTCTCAAAATAGGGTGTAATCAGTCTGCTCTCACAATAACTAAATATAGAAACTTACATTGAAATTGAGCGAAATGGTCTCCATAACACTTTTATATCTCCCTTCTCTCATTAAAAATAGGGCTTTAGGGAAAATAGGGTACGATTTTGTTTCAAGATCGATAGTTAAGCAAGTTCAGCTTGTGTCTTCAGAAAAGTGTTTAAGCCTTTGCACAAGAACATTTCATGTCTATTTTGGACCACAGGGCAAAGGTTTAAAGGCACAAGCATGTAAGTAATAATCTTCGTAAAACTTACCACTCGCGTCCTACAATAAAGAATACAATAAGAAGGATCACCCAACACGTATCCCTGCAAAGAAAAAACAATCAGGCAGAAATCCTCTGAAGGTAAAATGTGATAAGAAATCCTGATGAACTGATAACGTGTGCGGAGGTCAGCAGCGCGCACTGTCTGACCAGCAGCGTGTCTTGCTCGTCCATTCCCACTGCATTCATTTAGTAGGAGCCATCAAACTGCAGCCCTACGCCAGCAACAACGTCATCCCGATGACATTTCGGTTTGCTCTGAAGTAGCCCATTGGTTGTGATGCAGTGATGTATGGTAAATAAAAAAAATAAAAAAAAGTTAGTAAATATGACTTCCCGTCGGTGAGCAGACATCACCACCATATTTACAAAGACAAACTTTGTTTTGTTTTTCATGAAGTCTGAGACTTTGTGTGTGTCTGTTTTACCCTTCACACGATCCTCATATTAACACTTTGCTGGCCAATTAAAGACATTTTTAGAAAAAATACACGGTCTGTAAGATTTGATTGCTCAGGACGACAGACAGCTTCCAATAAAACCAATGACAGTTCCATAATTCCGAACCATAGACTGGACGACGTCATCGTTAAGTCACCCATTGGTTTGTGGACTGACGTTTTGAAGCCTCAAGTTCGACGATTTCGCCGTCGCCATCCTGAATTACGGCCGTCGCCATGCTTTTTTGCAACCACTGAACGGAGGTTAACATATTTAAAATGCAGAGGAGGGACGTAGAGATGCCGTATACCGCTCAACAATGGACAGTTCCACTGTTCAGAACCACGGACAGCTCCTATTCAGAACCACGGACAGCTCCTATTCAGAACCATGGACAGCTCCACCATTCGGGCAACACCTTCTTAAACATAAATCATGTATAACATAAAACAGAAGAATTCTAATACGTTTCACTTGTCATACTAAAGTCGCTGAAGACTTATTGAATTTCCTTTCTCTATGAAAGATGCATTGTTTAATGATTTATTGTGACATGTATTTGCAGATACAGTGATTAGAAATGGTCTCCTCTTAAAGGCTACATTTTTACACAAAATTGAATTGATCAGTCAGCTACTACTCCGATAAGCAATATATTGTTTTTAGACATTTTAAAATAGAAAATATCAAACGTTTTCTGTTTCCAACCTTTTCAAACATTAGTGTTTGATCATTTTCTTTCTCATATATGATAGTAAATTGAATATATTGTTGTTTTTCAATGATAGTCGGACAAAACAAGCTATTTAAATACATCATCTTGAGGTGTGAGTTTTTACAATGTACTATTTCCTGGCAATTCATTGAAAAACAATCAGTCAAGGGAGTAATCAGCAGATTAATCAACAATTAAAATAAATATAACATGCAGCCCAATTTGGTAACACTTTTTGACACCCTTCATTATGTGTTGATAAGTTAATAACTCCTGCATTGATTGGATTTGATTGGATCAAGTCTGCAGTAAATAATACATTTTAAGTTAGTACATGCCCATGGACATCTCAAAGTTTTATTGAAAAAATAAAAAAATTAAAAACAATCTAAAATCTGTAGTTTTAAATGTTGAAAGTAGATAGTAAATGGGCCATCAAGGAGTGATTTACTAAAGAATTAGCTAAAAGAAGACAAAGATAGTGTCATGCTGAAGGAGAATATAGAACAGTCAATGAGATTTGTCATAACCTGGAACAACCCAAACGTGTCTCTATTAATTACCGATAAAACGCATTGGTAAATAAGGTATTAACCATTAATAAAGTAATTAGTTACAGCTTATAAAGCCTAGTTTAAAATGTGGTTCATTAGACCATGGTATCACTTGTTTTAACCACCTTTCTATATATATATATTTTTTTCTGTTTAATTAACAAACTCAAAATGCCTTTTATTGGCATAACGCTCTTGATATTAATCATTCGTGCATAGCACTTCAAACATGGCATCGAAACAGAAAAGGTACATTGTCACCTCTTTCAGTCAGTTGACGTGTATAACAGGTTCAATGTTCCCCAAGGCTTTCACAGTATGTATGATTTACATGCTGTTTATATGGCTATTTCATTTCAAAAGAAGAGTGAAACCAGAGATCCAGAGAACACCGTGTTTCAATTAAAAGTGTTCACACAACACACCCCACGGGAACCACCTGCAGTGATACATTACCGCATGTCAAAACCAATGTGGCAGAGGATCAAACAGCGTCGGGTCAAGCTCTAATGAGCAACTTCATTCTAGAATTAATATGACTAGAAGTCTCGACCACAGGAGTAATCAGTCTGTGACACACTGTGCGATAAGATGTCCTCCCACTCTTGCTTGCGCCCTGCAATTGATCTTTGAAACGGAATTAATTGCTCCTCTTCAACTTCAATGGAAAAATCCCACTTTCATTACTGTGCTGGATTGTGCTGTTAGTCACTTGACATATGGATATGTTAAGAATGTTGCTCTGCTTAAACGTGAAGGGGTATTGACCACACATTTTTTTGTTTGGTATTAAGTCTTATTTCTAACTTATTTCTGACAAGCCATCTAGCAAACAAACATAATTGTGAACAATGCACAGTTTAAAGTTTGCTTTGCAAAAGCTTCACGAGGAAGGAAAAGCAATCGACACTTTTGTTATAAATCAAGGATGCACACAATGCATTTTGGTGTTTACAAGAAAACTCCACAGAGCACCCTTGATTAAAATTATTTAGCTCTTTAAGAACATTATTTAATATCTATTTTCTTTGGAAACAAGTGAGATTTCAAGCAGAGGTAGATCTATTTTAACTTTAAAAAACCACATAAAGATATTTGCAAGTGACCTGAAAGCTAAAATGATAAGTGTTCATTATTTTTTGCAGTGTGGCTTCTATCTTAGGGTTTGAGTAGTTGTGGTTGGCAGGGGGTGTGGTTTAGCAAGAACAACCTGTCACTGTGGATTACGTAACCACATCTTGCAGATCTATGAAGCATTTTCGCATGTGGGAGTATAATATATCTTTAAAACATCAACCAATGACACCCTGAGAATCCAAGTTGTGTCGTGTATTTTCACAAAAAAACGTGAATGTGTGCTGCCCCCACGTCAACACCCACGTAGGAATCCCCTGCTACTGCTGCGTTGGTCTGATGAGAGTGTCTGTTAAAACGGTCCCTATGTGATCTCCCTCACTGGGCCCCTGTTGGTCGCTCATCAGGCTTCCAGCCTGACCCATAACACCCCCTGCCAAAGGAACATATGTAGTGATGAAAGTGGCAGCAGGCCATCAGCCACCAGCTTCTTCTTTTTTCTCCCCGCTCAGGATGCAGGGCAATCGACAAAACATAAGAAAGGTGACTGAGTGTTACATAGAGAGACAGAGATGAGACGAGCACGACACAGACACACACAAAAAGATAGATTTAATTTTTCAGTAGTGTAAAATATTGATCACTTTTTACACTCAGTCTTAAGTCAGTCTGTTTCAGAAACATGTATAAAAATGAAAAAATTCACATTTTGAATTGCAACACAATTTGTCCATAAAACAAATCAGGATCTGTTGAAATATATAAATAAATCCAATACAAAACACAACATTATAACATTTTACACAGTTATATACAAAAATGATTTTTCTCGACGTGGGTTGCTAGTTTCCTCCCCAGGGCTCGGTACCTGTGGACGTGTAAATGCATTTATTTTACTAGGATTAAAAGGATACCAGAATAATGTATTGCCATTTTTACTATACAGTAATGTACAACCAAAAGATTTTTTTTTTTAAACTTATCTGACATTGTTACAATGTAGGCTATATTTCATCTGACTGGTTCCCCCTACCTCTCCTCTCCATCCCACACCAACTCTGGCACTCTTGTCTTGAGGAGAATTGGTTTCTGTTGCCACCGCAGCCCCCGTACACAAACGGCCTGCATTCCCCTGAGCGAAGGTGGAAGTACCAGAGCAGAACATATTCTGAACAGGCCCCCTCTGACATCGGCTCCAGGCAGTGGTCTGCTGCTGACGTTGCATGTGAGGTGAAAAATGAAAAGGTTAACAATACCAAACAAACTGAGATGCTGTACATTCACTATTCCCCCCCCCCACCTTATGTTAGATTTTGGATATGCAGCAAAAATGTAGGAAAAGTTTCAGTATGTTCGACGAGTGGGATCACCGAATACATTATTCCTGCACGATGAAGTCTTTCACACTCTGAAAAGAATATGTGTAGAGACCACTTGGGGACACTAGTGTGCAAAATGCCTGGTGCAGGTATGATTAAAAAGGGGAGATATGAGAGTACGTCTGACAAGATTTCACAAATTAGATGATAAAATCCTGCAGTACCATTGAGACCAATGTTTGTGTAAAAGGGATACTTGCTTGTTTTGTTGTCTTATGTAGTCACACCCAGCTGATTTCGTTTGGATGTACTGGTTTCCTGTGATTCCAGTATTTGTGCTAAGGTAGGCCTAGCACCCATCATCTCCAACATCTCTGCAGTGAACTCAGAGGCTGATATTGATCTTCTCATTTAACTCTCAAGAGACAGCGAATAAGTGAACTTCCCAAAACATCAGATCATTCCTTTAATATGAATAAGTAACTGTGAACTGACTTGCTGCATGCTATCAATGTATTGCTGTCTTTCACACAAGGTTTTGTGTAAAACCATATTCTTCAGTTTTCGCTGCAGAAGAAAGCACCTCATGAAATCCAGCAACAGCTGTCAAACATTCATGGAAGTTTTACATAAGTTTTACTCATATTCTCCCAAACTTTGTGCATTTAGGGATTTCAAGCAACTCATTACTCATAGTTACTAATATATTGTGAAAATGTGAAGAGAAACAAACACAGAGCAAGTAAATTAGATTAAAAAAGAAGGGGAAAAAAGGAATAAAATCAGTTATCTTGGCCACTCACCAGCAGTGTTTGTTCCAAACACCCTTCTTTTCTTCCTCTGTCCCCACTCTGCAGTCCCTCCCTCAAGAGAATCTGAACATCAATGACAAGTTTGACAAATAAAGCAAATAGCAAATAAAGACGCTGCAGCAGCAAACGGTTGGGTTTTCTGGTTATGTTTACCTGAAGCAAGAATTTAAATAAATTGGGTTGCACAGATCTATTATTATCTGGGGGCTGTATTCGCTTTGAGCTTCATGTCATTACTTGGTAAATGGACTTGTACGGCGCATTTCTAGTCTTCCTACCACTCAAAGCGCTTTTACACTACATGTCAATCACCCATTTACATCCTGTCATACATGGAAGGGGCTATCTTGCAAGTGGCCACCTGCCCATCACAACACTGAAAATACACCGAAGGTACAGCATTCTGGAGCAATTTAGGCTAATCCTTGTCCTTGCTCAAGGACACATCAATGGAGCCAGGGATCGAACCGCCGATCTTCTGATTGGCAGATAGTAGTAACTTTCAACTTGATAGTTTTCTACCATTTTATGCAAAATATAGTTGAGGCCAAAGCATTGTTGCAGAATATAGCACATTTTTTAAGTCTTAGACTGTGACACCAATCCACCAAACATGGAAGAAATCTTGCCACAAACCCCAAAGGGCTTGCACTAAAGCACCCTTGGCTTAGCTTTAAAAACACTTCTTTACTTGGTACATTTTTTTATCCATGGAAGGTAACCATAGCAGCATGATTCAGGCTACATTATCATTGAACTCAGTGTTGAGTCCGACCTCTTTATTCCTGTGAATGACCGTAATAGAAGCGTGATAACATACTCTGAGCTTCCTTACAATAAGTAACAATAGATGAGATGGAGGTGATGATTTGGTGATAATCGTGTCCCAATATTTTCTTCCTCCAAACACCTCAGACATTATTACCTACATTATTACTGATTCAAAATCCCCACTAACACAGTAGAAAACCACAGCTGTTACACATCATTATGACATATGTAATCATTTAGCTGTGACACACACTCGGTCATACTCTATAAATCTGTCGGAGTACATTAGAAAATGATGACATCCCAGGCATCTGTGTGTTTGGCCCATGGGCTTGGACAGTTACTTGTTTCGATGTCTAACATGGAAATGATTGTTATTACCAGTGCGGTTTGGTAGGATCACAGGGGCAGGACGAGTGTTTTCTTCCAGTTTGTCTCCATATTCTTCCACTTCTTCCTCCATTCCTCCTTCATGGAGGTCACGGTGGAGGGATATCACGACATCATCTGGCAATTTTCTATTGTCAATCACTGCCGTTGTTCCATCTGGATCCACAGACTTTACCATGAACTTGTATTCCAACCCTATAATGATACAAACATGATACACACAATCATGAAAACCACATAATAACACTGTTTTAATAATGCTTGTACTGTAAATAAATAGTGGAGTATTCAGTGGTAAAGTTTGGGTCTTTTTTTTATTATTTTATACTTTACTTCACTCTTCCTTTTGCTGTATGCTGGAAGCACTGCTGCTTTATAAACAACCACAGCAGTGAAACGCAAAGAGATGTTAAAAAACATCTTTTCACCAAATATATTGTGGTAGACATGTGGTTTCAACAAGCAACAAATAGCTAACACCTAGACTAGTTACTGCTGGGATATTCTCTGCTGAAATCATGTTGCCGAAATCAAGTGTTTGAAAAGCAAACAGGGAAACTCATGTATCTACAATGTCAAAATGTCTTCAGTGGAAAAGGTCGACAATACACAGAATTGTCCTTTAAGTGTCTTGTAAGTGTGTAGTGGATTCCTAATGGCAGTCTCGTGCTTGTGAATGGCTCTACTGTTGTTGCTAGCACCATGGTGTGTGTTCCTGTGAGAGAACATAACAGATGGCAAAACACACACGGGTGCCATGCTGCTGCCACGGGAGCTCCACAACAAACAAACAAACACACACACACACACACACACACACACACAATATGTGGCCTGTCTAGAGGCACACGAATGTTCACTCTTGGACAAATGTACAGAAAAGTACAAGCACACATAGAGGGTTCAAAATGTACAAGTGAATAACGTGACCCACCCCACCCTACAAACACACACGCACACACACACACACACACACACACACACACACACACACACACACACACACACACACACACACACACACACACACACACACACACACACACACACACACACACACACACACACACACACACACACACACACACACA